AAAAAATTCAAAAAGTTTCAAGAATCTAACATTCTTTTACCTATATTCCAAATAGGACTCATAAACAGAAATAAATGCAATAAAAATGCATCAAAGGCAAAGAATTGAACCTATAAGATTCATTTTTTTTTAGAGAGAGAGTGAGAGAGAATTTTAATATTTATTTTTTAGTATTTGGCAGACACAACATCTTTGTTTGTATGTGGTGCTGAGGATCGAACCCGGGCTGCACACAGCTACCGCTTGAGCCACATCCCCAGCCCTATAAGATTCATTTTTAAAGACTCAATAGAATGGTGATTGCATAAGTATACACACCTGTCAATACTAATTAAACTCTTCTTTTAAAATGCATGCATTTGATTATGTGTAAGCTTTAAAATAAAAAATACACCTGAAACTTCTACTGCATTGTATACTAGAAGGCCAACCCCTCCAAAATTGTAATTGAGAATTACCTTCACAGAGATGATAAATCCTCATTCATCTGGAAACCATGGTTAGACTAACATCAGAATAAAAACTCCTTTGACAAGAGAAACCCATGTCCCTTAATAGCTTTTTATTTTTTTAAAAAATATTTCTTTAGTTGGAGAAGAACACAATACCTTTATTTTTTTTTTTATATGGTGCTGAGGGTCAAACCCAGTATCTTATACATTCAAGGTAGGTGCTCTATCACTGATTACAGGTTCAGTCCCTAGTGTTTTAATTTTAAAGCATGTAACATGGAAGTAAATTTTAAAATAGAATTAATATATGAAGTTAGATTGTATATATTCCTAAGAACCCTACTACTGTTGTAGAAAGAACTAGTAACTTCATTCATTAAGATCACAGCTGTATTTCCATTGACAGCTCTAATCATTTTTTTGGAGCTAAAATTGTCCACATTTATTAACTATTTTAATGTTGTCAATGAATAATGATTTTTATATTAGGATTTCATAATCTCAATTTATAGCAGGGATCCGAAGCTAGGTTAGTATTCTCAAAAATTGGTAACTATAATGAGAGGATCAGATCTCACTGAAACTTACAAATAGTTATTTTTTTACAACAGAATTACTAAGACAAACTTAGAATTCAGTTTTGTTCAGTCTGTCCTGTAAGTATATATATACTGCCCATATTACATTTTGGTTAGATACTGTTACTGGCATTACAAGGTTTATAGGAATTCTGTAAAATGTAACTTTTATAGCTTCATTAAGGACCTCTACCTAATTATTTGCCAACTATAAAAAACATTAACATGGAAGAATAGAGATGAATGTGATCTAACTGAAGTTATTTCTTATTCTATAGAAATATAGAAACCTGAATCATCATATTGATTCAGTTTTTCTGGCTAGGAAATTTAATATAATCCTTCATCCTTCCAAAGTTGGAAAAGACATGAGTTTCTGCTAGAAACTCAAGACATGTAAGACACAAAACAGGAAACTGTATTGTTTCATTTATAGGTAATAAAGATTTCAGTTTAAGCCTATTATTTTAATTACCAATGGAATACAAAGTATGAACATAATAGGCATGTTAATATAGCTTTAATAGGTTTTTTCCTTCTTAAGGAAATGTCAGCTAAATATTATCTTTAGGCTACATTATAAAGATATACGTATAGGTACATATACACAATAGGAAATTATCCAAATCCATCCCAATTTATTCAATAAATATTTATTAAGAACCTATTATATGCTGTTTAAACTACTCATTTTTTTTATATAATTTTGAGTACAATGAAGAAAGTGTTTCTTGATCAAATGGAAAAGCTTTCCTACCTCTAAAAATTATCCAAGGTAAATGTAACTTTCCATCTATTATATTGTTTGTTTTATTATATTTATTATATCAAACTTTACATATTGGCACTCTAGAGAAATTTTCCAGGCCAGTATAACCAAAATTAACTTGAATAGGCTTAATTTGAAACTTTCAAACAGGTGATATTTCTTCATATTCTGGGTAAGCATATGCATATGAGTTAAAGTTGACACCTGACTTCAGAATGTCTCATCTACTCAAGATTCCTAGCAGGAAAAACTGCTTTCACTCATCACCTATCCTACTCACTCAGGATTGTCACCAAGGTATACCATGGTCTTTTCTTTTTAAAAGTGAGGCCTATTCTGCCCAACTTTTTTTTTGTACCAGGGATTGAACCTAGAGGCACTTACACTGAGCCACATCCCTAGCCGTTTTCTTCCTTCCTTCCTTCCTTCCTTCCTTCCTTCCTTCCTTCCTTCCT